GAGGACTCTCAGTTCACTGCGATTAAACTGAATCTGGCGTCGTTTGATCTGCCTTCAGGGGATTCCAGTAGTGGTCCCCTGCGTGAACGTATCGCTCAAATAGGTTGCAGTCTACTGGAAACGATCAGCCTTCTCACCGCTAAATTCGACGTCAAAGTTGTCCGCTTATCGGGTAAGAACTTTCGCTGAGGCAGGCTTTTGGACTTTTATTTCTGCTAAGCGAGATTCTAGTCTCACGTTTTCTTTTTTGGAAATTCGCATAGGCGACTCTGAAGGTGGAGGCGGTGGCGGAGGTAGTAGTAGCAGCAGCCTGGTTGGTCTCCTGATGACGGACACGGCCTTCCGCTTCCTAGCTCAAGTAGCCTGCCTCTCCAGCTTTAACGAGAACGCCGATGAAGGTGGCCCATTCTGCGTCCTGATTAACACTGATATCTCACATTTGATGCGTCACAACTTGGGCGCGTCTTCCTGCATCCAGCCCAATCACTCTGGCGGCGGATCTTCACACGGTCTGGAAAATATACTGCCCGTCCTGACCAAAGTCACTGGTCCGCCTACCTACCTACTCTCTGCCTACGACCAAAGCCTTCTGCCAACAGCCGAGAGCTCTTGGTTTGTGAATGGTACTCTGCCGTTGGCTTGGTTGGCTCAGGCTCATCGTCGGCACCGTCTGTTTGTTTCACTTGATCTGTCCAGAGCCCAGGTACTTCCGGGTCATGCTGGGCTCTCATTCACACAGCTGGGACGAGTACAGCCCTCGGGAGATTTCGTTAGGTTACTCAATAGCCTCTCACGAATGACACTGCTTAGTAACAATGAGATAGCCAGCAGGGTCTCCACTGCCGTCCTCTCCGTGTGGCCAATGCACCGATTGCCCGGGGTATGTTATGCATGGTTAATAAATGATTTTTACTCAAATATGCTAGTGAACAGTCGGTAAGCGTAGCGTGAGTAGTCCAAATTTGGCAAGAAACACTAAAATAAGTCGGCAGAGTAGTAGCTGCGGATCGCGTCCTGCTCCTTCAACGCGCATTGACAATCCTGCTACTATATCGTTGTCTACTCTCCATTCTCCTAGTCTACCCAGCCTTGTCATTACATTGCCACGACTTATCTCGCTAGAACAGACGCAACAGTTGCACTTTCAATTACTACACATACAATTCGTTACCTTTACATAATCGCGATAAGCATTTGCCTAAGATACAGCGCTGGTGATCGCACGAAAATGGTTTTCATGCAGTTGCGGTTTAACAGAGGGAAGACACCTTTACGCAAGAAAATAGACATTGACATATATCATCTGAATTATTGAGGTTCCTAAAAAAGAAGAAAAGAAAAGGTTCAATGACCTCGCGCATGGTCAGCGAAAATCCTCCAACTTACACGCGCCCGTCGTTGGTCCAGTTGCGGTTAGTCATGATATTAGAAATGTACCTCAATGACTTCGCCCATGGTTAGTGAACAACCCCCAACTTACACGCGTTCGCCGTTGCTCCATTAGGGTTTAATGATGATATTAAAAATATGTACCTTAGTGACATCGCCCAAGGTAAGGGAAACTCCCAACGAAACATACGCATACCTTGGCTCAGAGGGATAGGAGTAATGTATGAATTGCTTCAATTTAGCACTCAAGAAGACCGGCCACGACATAGCCTGTTTTTCACAGTAGCCAGTCACCGAAAATTAAGAATTATAATATTGAACATTACATATAGCTATTTTATACGCTTGTGCAGTAATACTTTTTTTCCAGATTTATTATTAATGATAAACGTTTAATATTACAAAAAAGTCTTCAAAAAATCCATTATCACTGGGTTTTGGGAAAAAGGGGAGTTTTCGGAATAAAACTCCATATTTTCCAGGTTTGTCGACGTTGATTCGACCTCGATGCGATGTCGATTTGCTTTTCGCACCTCTTTTCTATTTACGCACCCAACGCCATCGTTATATAGCTGCCGCATTAAACTATTTCAACATAATTTTACAACTTTTTGTACTTATTTTTACAAAGTCCCTTTCTTGTCCATCCATTTTCTCCACCCATAAAACCCCAATCCCATCAGTCCCGTAAGACAGAAGACTCGGGTTTTAAAAACCCAGGTGGGCCTACACAAGCTACTTTTTCCGAACAGTGCTTAATATTTACTTCCTCCCGTTGTTGTTGTTGTTGTTGTACCAACTTACTCCCTTAACCTAGTTTGCCAGAAATACATGACATAAAATTTTTAAGAATGATGAAGGAATTCAGCGAGTTTGTCTGGGCGAAGCCATAGGTCCTCAGGCATTAGGTCCGTAGGGTTGGCCGGGCAATCGAAGAGGTGGCACGTTGTGTGGGAAGGCGGGACACAGTCAGGAAAATTGTCCGTGACGTTGTCGAAGCATGAGGTGAGACGTAATTTGAGTGAATTCAGCAGCGTGGAGAAACCGGAACGCAGCTGGGATAGTCTGATTCTGGCGTTTCTGGACAGGTTGGCCC